CATGAGCCAGAAGATGACAGCCTCATTTCTGGCACAACCTGAAATATTTCTTGCTAGAGGAGCTCATAAAACCTCCTATCATCCTGACTCTCACAGCAGGCTCTGGTTAGCTGGGCTCCCAGCAGTCTGCTAGGTTAGTCGACAAAGAAAGGAACAAAAAGCATCACTGTCAGTCCCCCTGGTCATTTGTAAAAGAGGGATGAAGCATATCTGTAGTAATACTCATCGTGGATATACTCATGACCAGTTTTTGCATCCTAACTGCAGGGAAATCCATGCTCTTACCCCTGCAGAGCAGTAAATCTGAAAATATTTTAGAGTGTTACTTGCATTTGACAAATCACAAACAGGGCCTGATTTTGATCTCTGGTGGCTACCAAACCAACTCCACTGGGCAGCTGCCTTGCTGGATAGCTGGTATGAAAGGAAATAATATAATTAATATCCTCCAGATCCTTGCATACAGGTTCATCCATAAACTGTGCCACCTTACTTTGCACTGCACTGTTAAAAAATAAAAAATAGCTCTTTTTCCGATGAGCAGTTCCTGTATGTTTTTAACAAAAAAAAAGGAAACAATTACCCCTCCTTAACTTGAACAAACTAAAGGGCATTGAAAATTTTGGAGATGGTGAAGGTGACCCAGTTAAACTAAAGCAAACTGACTAACTGCAGTCATTTAAACAAATAAATTCCTTGCTCATCTACAAGAAATCATGTATAGCTAAAAAATATTCACAACAGCAGCTTCAAACCATAGTTTATTAATGCCCTTTCCCCCACAGCAGGACACAGAAAGGAAACTGGCAAGATAGGCACATTAAAAAATGATGACTCCTCTGACTGAAACATATGATACCAGAAATACACCTCCCTTCTTTTATGCTGGGGTTGGAGATACTGATTAAAAATATGTTTGTTCCTTACCTCATTACTGGGCGGCATTCCTGTGTTGGTATTACTTGAGGTAAATGCCTGTCTGTTTTCACAGCAAGGCATTTTTTAAAATTCCAGCCATGAGGGGAGGAGGCTTTTGGCAGAAGAGGGAGTTTAAGGGAGGGGTAGTTGGCGGGGAGCAGGACATGGTGGGCACAGACACTTAGAACAGCTGCCTTTTGCTTTCTGGGAAATACTATTGGGAACAAAGCCCTTCAACTACATTTTAGTTAAGGGAAAAATCAACTTCAATTCAGTCCATATGGACCAACAGTAATTTTAACTCCTGCACATGCTTTTGGGGAACATAAGGAGCAGTGAGTGGCAGAAGTGAGGGGTCCCTCCCATCCTCGTGCCTCACCCAAAACCACACTGATCCCAAATGTCTATGAATCCTCACCATCACACAGCTTCAAGTGTAAGCTCTGAGGATGCCTCAAGATTGATGGCATGCCCTAGTCCAAATAATTTGGAAAAACCTGAACAGTTATATTCCTGGATATTAAGTTATATAATGGATTTTATGGCACCAAAAGGGAGCTTTTTCGTGAACTGCTCACAACTCAGAATGGGGAAAGTATTTAATGAGTTTAAATAATATTGAATAGGTTGAATTAAATCTGGAGGGCAGTAAAAGTTATTGAGGATACATAATGTTACACAGGCTGAAATCCACCAGGTAACAAAACCATTTAGTGACAGGTTTTGAAAATGAGCCTATTCTTTCAAGATCACTAATTGTCAATGGTCTACTCAGGGGAAGGGCAGGTCCCCTGTACTCAAATGCTGAAAACCTCCTGGTACACACATTTTTCTCCTTTGTTCTGTGACACAGACTGCCTAGAAAAGACTCATTTTGGAGGTTGTTGCAGGAAACTCTCACAGAAGGTAGAGAAGGGGCTGTGGGGGACTCACTATCTCTGCACCTGTGCAATGTCATGAAAGGATGTTTGCCACTGGCTCCAACATCTGGGATGGAATTTGCGTGCTTTAAAGTACCTCAATATCTTTTGGGGTTTATTTTGTTTGTTTTTGCTCAGTTGCTGGTTTTTTGTTTTTCTTTTTTTTTTTTGACTTTTCATGTCTCTGACTACTTATTAAAAAACATATTCTGCTGGATTGACACTGAAGACTGGCTTGACACTGTGTGATGCTTTAAAAAGCCCGGGTGACAGAGGGTAGACAAGCATGGCAGTAAAATTTAAATCTGCCTGTATTATTTTATTAGCATATGCTGTTACTTACTCTTGCCCAGCTTGCATTCTGTTTGTATTCCACCTGAAATCCCCTTACCTGCATATCTGTCCTTGGGATAGGAACTGGAGGGGTCTGTGTCTTCAGGATGTCTGCTCAATTTTCCCTGCACCAGCAATTGCTACATTTTGCAGTCAGTTTTCTCTTGTGTTTGCTTTCTTGCAGAAATGGCACAAGTGCCACACACACAAAGCTCCATAACCCAAACCCCACAAGAAGTGGTCGAATAGCAGAATGACACAAAACCCAATCCATTTGCAGTGTCAGACCCTCTTTGTTGTGCTATTTTTGTTCATCCTCCAGTAATCCAGCCAGAGCTCTTTTCCTTGAGTACAGTACTGGCTTGCTTTCAGATGGGATCAGTCTCCTTCACCTGCACAGCTCCTTTCACACCTGCACAGAGCAGCAGTCCCAGTTCATGCAGGCTCGTGTGTGTCCTTCTCTCCCGTGAACTCATCCTGCACTGGAGCAGGCAATGGAAACTCACAGCACAAGAGGGTGTTAAGACATTACAGGTATAACACCTTGTTCCTGCCCCATACTCAAAGTACCCTCAGATTAAAGAGTCCCTGAGGGTGGGACTGATAATGTTTGTTAAAACACCAGTTGATTCACAATAAAATACTGTTTGCAGACACGAGTCATGCTGTTGGGAAATAACTTCTGCTCAGATGAGTGTGCATTGCTTCAGAAGGGAGAGCTACGTTAGCACCCAAGACAGCAAGGTAAGAGGTTTTCTAGGTCATGGAGAGTCACAGAAGCTGTGTGGGTGCCCGGCAGGCACTGCTTACTGTGCAGCCCAGCCCATTCTCCTGGGAGCTTTGCCACATTTAACCCAGGGAGCACAGCTCTGAAGGAGCGATTAAATGTCATGCTGGGGTTGCAAAGTAGGAATAACATGCAAAATGGGATTAAGTCTTAATATAATCTCATATCTTATAGTCCTGGACCACCTGGTAATGTCAGTGAGAAAATTCTAAGTCTTATTAACATTAAAAAAATGCATCAAACTTCAAAGGGAAAGCAAACCACAAAAAACCATGCTGGTGATTTCAAGAGCATGCTGTATGACCAGTAAGTCAAAGTGTAACTAACTATATTTTCACTGTCTTCCACTGGCCACGAGTTATTTTCTCAATCTTTGAACGGGCTGACACAGCCTCAGCACGGCGGCGAAGCATGGCACCAGAGGTCAACACAGCTCCATCCCCAGGGCAGCTGCTTTTGTGTGAGAGGTAAGGGGACTCTACACCTGGCATGAGCTTCCCAAGCTGTGAAGGAAATTCTCACAGGAAAACCCACAATGAAAATAAATCCTGACTGGAAATTACTTCAGATGCAAGCAAACAGAAGCAAAAGGAGATTTGTGCTGCAAATGCCAGCCTTGCTTTTTTCACCAAGTGGGAGCTCCACTGAATTCATGGACTTCTCTGTCTGGTGCTCCACTGCAAGCACAGTTTTGATACCCCTTAGTTCTCAGAAACTATGAAATCTGTCCTCCCTTCACACTAGTAGGGTTGAGAGGTAATATCCCAGTGACTGTGAACTCAAGCTGGGAGTAGCAACAACCACCTATCCTACAAGACTCCTCAGATTCCAGTGAAAGAAAAAATCTGGGGAGGCATTCTGAATTTAAGTGGGGAAACATAAATAGGAGACTGAATGTGTAGCATTTAAATTAAAATATTCTCTCTACATTTTCCTGGGGGTTTTTTTCTATTTTTTTTTCCCGATTCTAGTGTTATCAGTTAAGCACCTAGGTCTTCTCTGAGCTGAAAACCAGACCATCTGTCTCACATCTGGGACAGACAGCAGGCTGAGACTCCCACCCAGCCTCTCCAGATCTGTGCAACAGTCCACATCTGGCCAAGGTACCAGCACAGCCAACCTTGCTAAGCACATCCTTCACTGAAAGCCTGTGAAAAGCTGTGGGAAGTGCATCCTTTAGCGTTCTGCTGAGTGAGGTCTAAAGCCCTACAGCCCCATTCTGATACAGGTTGCACAGATGATTCCTTGAGCCTCAGACAAAGGGCTGCTGAGCTGCTGGACACGCACAGCCAGAACCGGCCAACCCTACTATTGACAACCACCTTCTACTCACAAATTCCAGGTCCTGAAGTCTTCCTGTTCTCAAATAAGCAGTGGTCTTCCTTGCCTGACCAATTACTGTAACTCAAAGAAAACTACTGGAAGTAGGCAGTTACCTGAGTGCCATTGAAGTTACACTATGTCAAGTTTACAGCTTCATCCCTTGGTTCTGCAGGAAGACAGTCAAACCTAAGACAACAAATACAGATAAAATGGCATGCAAAAAGTGTACCAAACCACTGATTTACAAAGCAGTGGTTGCTTTAAAGAAATCACACAGAATAAAGTAAGTTTGCCTTAATCTAATGATAATTCAAAGCTTCTGGCCCAGAAGATGATTTGCACAAGAAGAATAAGAGAGCAACGAAGTAAAGTATCATTCTCCATCTATGCCAGTTTTCTCTGTCCTTTTTGAATGAACACATTTCCCAGGGCACTGCTTCTCTAGCACAGCATGTCTAGTTTCACACCAACCTAAAACTACACCATTTTTGAACACGTTACTTATATATAACTTGAGGAAGTTACCAGTCACCAAATAGGAAATCATGTTTCTTCTTGAAAGGGGTAATTATCTAGGCTCCAGCTCTAAAGACATTGCAAATGAGATTTACTTCCCATTAGCCATCAAAGCCACAGTTGTGCCATAATTATAAAACTACTTTAACAGAAATGAAACCTTAGATGCTTGTGGCACAGCAGTTTGCTCTTCACGGTGGTTTAAAATGTATGCCAGCAGTTTATTATTTAAATGCATTTTCATGAGGTGAATGCGACAGTACTGCTGTATTTCAGTTACAAAGCAATGCTAAAGAAGAATTAAGAATTACAGTTAAAATTGTGTATTATCATGTAAATGGCAAAGGAATGTCACATGGGATTCTGTGCATTGTTCGTACAGATAAATGCAGTGAACTATAAATACAAGTTCAATAGAGAGCCTTGACAGTTAAGCAGCTGAATGAAAGCTAGTCTTGGAGGCTGCTGGGACGTTTTGAAATAAATACGCATACATACAGATGCAATATCTAACGTATTTAATTAATCAACCATTAATTTTGGGGGCGTTTTTCTTGTCTTGTCTTGTCCTATTAAAAAAACAACCCACAAAAAAAAAAAAAACCTGCTGTAATGGACAAAGACAATTGTCTTTGATGTGAAGTTTAATCTAAATAATGAATATTAATAGACTGAAGACCTCCTGCAGGTATGAATGCTCAGCCCTCCTTGAGTTCATAGCAGGGTTAGTGCTCAACACTGAAGACAGTGCCTACTTGAACAGCAGCCACCAAGAACGCTGCTGCCTTCATCAAAAGAGGTGCCTATCCAGATGTAGAAGAGATTATGCTGCTGTTTGATTACAGCAGGAGATATACTGGTATTTAGGGTCTAGAAAGGATTAGTTTATCCTTTGTCCTTATTCTGGCTGTTATTTTGAGCTGAACAATGGCCTCTTCTGTGAATACTGGTACATGTAAAAAAGCAAACGAGGTACAAATATTTTATTTTGTATGCCCACTGCTACTGCTTCACCCTACCCAGAACAGAACTATTGTAGGGGAAAAAAACTCCACCAACTATTTCAGCAAGACTGAAAAGGTTTCCTGTTCTTCAGTTCGGCCTCAACCCCCATGGCAAAGATAGCCAAAATGGGAAGAAAAAACTGAGAAGCAGTATAACACCCACTGAAAACAATCACCATCTCTGGAGATGCTTCTGGTGCAGTAACAGTTGACATCACATGAACTGAGAGGTTAGTATCCAGCCCCAGGACCCAAAAAGGCTGAGGGCAGCTAGCCCACATAAGCTCTATCAGTTTGCTGAAACTAACTGCTACAGTTATCTCAGGGCTAGGCAAGGCAGTTCATTTCAGGTTTTAAAAACCAGACAAATGTCTATTCAGCCGAAGTACTCACATTACTTTAGCCACTCAAAGAGCTTTTGCCCTTTCAATGACACAACAGCTAGGAATGAGAGACAGAGGAGAGTAGTGTTTGAAAGCTTAACTCTACCCCCTCCTTGCCTCAGAGGGAACAAGTAAAAGTTCATTCAGTTCAGTGGAGTGAGAAGCTGGAAGGTGGTGGCCTCCACTACCCATCAAAGAAGGCTGAGGAGACACATGCTTCCCTGTCAAAGCTCAGGCAAACATTCAGTCCAAAGGCAAAACATTAACACACTTTACTGAAATATCAGTTTCTTTAGTAAGTTACAGAAAAACTTATGAACATATATAATGTACATAAAAAGCAGACTTTGTAAAATAAAAAGGTCTTCTTCTATAAAAAAAATATTAAAAAGTCAAAGTAAAGTGCATGTAACAGTTTTTCGTCCACTTTAACTATCGTGCCAAAGTCTTAGCACATAGTATTTTTTAAAATGGGAGACCTTCTTGTGCCACCCATTTAGTCAGTTACTTTACTGGTCAGATGGAAGGATGATGGTGATGATTACAAACAAATGCTTAAGAATCAAAACAGTTTAACCCGATGCAACCACAACAAAAACTAAGAGCTAAGGGAATATCAGCTTCCTATACACTTCTCACCGACAAGATTTAACAATCAGTGGAAAGGTTCACTTTCGTTAATCGGTAGGAAACAAGTTTCATAAATAGGGCAGTTTTGCTAGTTAGGGGCTCCCCTATTGTGCAATCAGTTCTTGGTCTATCAATATCAACATTTATACTTAAATATGCCATTGTAAAAGAAAGAATATATAAAAAATGTTTCCACCTGCGTCCTTTGGAAGAGGTACTCGACCTCAATCCAGACAAAGACAACAGTTTTCCTATGGGGTTTCTTACGAGGGCAAGTGCACCCAGAAAATTAAGGAAAGCACTAAAGATGCTGAACCTCTCATGTTTTTCAAACTCTGGGGGCAGAGTCCTGGAATGAAACTCGGCCATAATTATACCGATTGCGCTCCGCATCTTCAGAGATCTTGACAAACGGGAGTTAATCGCTCCTCTCGACAGCCCCGGCAGACAAGTTGCCCGCGATGCCCGCCGCTCCCGGCGGCCGTTCCCATCCTCCGCACCCCCCATCCCCGGCAGTCGCAGCGATTACGGGGCACCGAGCACCGGGGTGGCACGCTGGGTCAGCTCCTGCCTTCGGCAGCTGCCGGGGCAAGTCCCGCTGCCTTAAAGGAGAGGAAAGCTGGAGCTGTCGGCGCCAGCCTCCGCCCGGCCCGGGGCCATCAGAGCACGGCGGCCTGTGCGCGGCAGTGGGCGATGTGGCGGTGCACGAAGTCGACGCGGGCCTGCAGCAGCTCTGCCTGGCGCTCCGAGAGGAAGCCGAGGCGCGCCCAGAGCGGCTCCCGCGCCCGGTACCGGCGGCGCAGCTCGGCGGCGGCGCTGCGGCGGCGGTGCAGCTCCGCGACGCGGCGGGCCGTGCCCTCGCGGAACACGCACACGGAGCGGAGCAGCGGCTCGTTGTAGGGGTCCCACATGGCGAGGAGGCGGTAGCCGTGCACCAGACCCGCCTCGTTGTCCATGAAGACGAGCCCGCCGTCGGGGGCACGGAGCAGGTTGCTAGTGGCACGGCGCATCACCCGGGGATCCCACTGCAGGCTGAAGAGGTTGCTGACCAGGCGGTCGAAGTTGGCCGTCAGGTAGTCGAAGAGGATCAGATCGCTCCACTGCACCAACTCCACCAGCTGCGACGGCGGCAGCCCGCCCAGCTCTCCCGCCGACAGCGGCTGCAGCCGCCGACCGGCGCCCGCCTCGGCGCTCCAGGGCGCGGGTGCCACCACGGCGGTGAGATTGTCCACCCAGCGGGTCAGGCTGACCACGGCGCCCTCGGCCCAATGTGAGCCGCGCAGCTCCTCCCGCACCGGCTCCCACTGCCGCCCGCGGGCCTCCACCAGGGCGAGGGCCATGGGCGGCAGTCGCTCCTGCATGCCCAGCACCCCGGCCAGGTGGTACGAGAGCGCCTCGCCCTGGATCTGCTCCGGGTTGATGCCGTAGCGGACGCAGGCGCGGCTCCCGTCCGACAGCCGCGCCAGCCGGTTGGAGCTGCGCCCGCAGCCGCCCCGCTCCAGCGAGGACACGCGGGCGGCGCGGGCGGCCGAGAGCCACGCCGCCGCCTCCTCCGCCGCGAAGCCCGGCGGCACCTGCTCTTCCAGCTCACGGCTCCAGAAGATGCCCCGCTCCACCGGGGAGGCGGTATCGGCCGGCGGCAGCGAGCCGGTCACGGCGAACCGCTCTTCGCCGCCCCGCTCCTCCTGGCCCGTCGCCGCCTCCGGCATCGCCAGTAGCGTCCGGAAAGTTTTCTGGCCGCCGCCACCGGACTCGCCCCGCGCCGCCGGGGAGCCTCCCCAGCCCCACCGCCCCGCGGGGGGCTCCGAGGGCGGGAGCGGCTCCGGCTCTAGCTGCGCCGCCGCTTCCCGTCGCAGCAGCACCGTCCAAAGCCCCGGCAGGGCGCCCAGGAGCAGCAGCCCCAGAAGGGGCAGGGGGCCCGGCGCGGCCCGCCTCGCCCGCCTCATCCTCATGCCGCCTCACGCCGCCGCCGCGGGACACAGCGGCGGTGCAGCCCCGCCGCTCGGCCGCTCAGGGCGGCGCTGGCGCATGGCCGCGGGCCGGAGCTGCCACCCGGGGAACGGCGGCGGGAGCGGGGTAGCCCGGCAGCAGCCCCGCGCCGTGTGCGCCCCGCTCCGCCGGCGGCCGGGGACACGGGCACCCGCACCACGTGGGGGAGCCGAGAGGGCGCGCCCGGCCCGCCCCGTCTCCCGGCGTGGAGCTCCGCTTAAAGCGGCGATGGCGGGGCTGCGGTCCCACCCGCGGCGGGGCGCCCCCTCCAGGGGGCACAAGGGTCGGGGGTGGCGCGGGGGCCGCTCCGGCCGCCCGCCCGCAGGCAGGGAGCGCGCTGCGGCGGGGGCGCTCGGCCCCCCGCGTCCTCCTCCCCGCTGCAGGCAGCACAAAGGAGCCCGCACGCCGAGGGAGGACAGCGGGGAGGGGGAAGGGAGAGGCGGTGCGCAGGCAGCGGGGCCGCCCCCCGCCGCCGGTGCACGAGATGCCGCGGAGCCTCCCGCCCACGGCCGCGCCGCCTCCCGCCCACGGCCGCACCGAGAGGTCGCGCCGCGATCAGCGGCACATCGGCACCCCCTCCGCTCCACCGCTCCTTCGGCCCCCAGCCCGGCGCTGGGGGCCGGGAGCGGGGCTGGGAGCCGGCAGGGGGTTGCACAAAGGGATCGCTCACGTACCAGGCTGTGCACGCACGTACGAGTGCACACCCGGACACGCACCTGTCCGCCCGGCAGCGTAACGCCCGGGGCCAACGCGGGACACCGCGCCGTGATGCCGGGGCTCCCTGCCGGGCAGGGCCACCGCTGGCCGCGGGCGAGGCGCGGTGGTGAGAACCCACAGAGCATCACCTCTTCCTGCGCCTCCTCCCGCTTCGGCGGCAGCAGGTGGCAGCCGCCGCGGGGCCTCTCTGCACGGAGGGCAGCGCCCTTCGCGTCCTTACACACTGGAATGTGCGGCGCGATCACGCACCAGGTGTGTCACGGAGCGTGAGGACCAGCTTTTCCTGGCATTTGAACTTTCTCCAGAGAAAATTTCAAGGCTGCGGAGCCGGCGGCAGGATGCTGTCCCACCCCACGGATTATCCTTCCCGAGGAAACAACAGCCAGCCCTTCTTTTCAAGTTTTGTCCCTTCGAGGTCTTTGGAAGAGTAGCTATTTCTTTATCCCCCATTTCCATTTTTCTGCCTTCCCAAGGCAAAGAAGCTTAGCTCTGCCCTTCCTGTATTTTTCTGGGGACCTCTCTTGGGAAGAACACATTTGCGAGCCGCGTTAGATTAAACACCCCTCCCTTCTGCTCTCAGTGCCGTGGCTATCCTCCAAAGTAGTTATTGGAGTTGGATCAGTGTAGCAAAACCACCACACTCAGAATCTTAAATACTGCAAAAGAAAAAAAAATCCCTTTCTCATCTCCCCAACTCTTTCTGCTCTGTTGAGATATCACAGCAACTCGTATTTTTTTCAGCCACACCACTCCCTTCCAGGTTAGATGGAAAATAATTTGTTTTCTTTTAATATAAGAAATGGGGAATTCTTTCTTTTGAATGTTAAAAACATTCAAACTCTCCTAATCCATCTTAACAACTTACATACACACAGGCACACCCCCCCCAAAAAAAAAAAAAAAAAAAAAAAGAGAGAGAAAAAAAGACTCAAAAAGCAGAAGCCGAATTCCCTGTCTTTTGCCTCAAATTCCCGGGCAGCGAGCAGCGGGAGCCTCCCCCGCCGCTCCGGGCGACCGTGTCGCACCGGCGCCTCCTGCCGCTCACGCCGCCGCCCTGCAGCCACCGGCGGCACCGGTGATAATGATAATAAGAAATATTATCATATATTATCATCCTGGCTTTCCTCAAATGCAATACCAGCTGTAAAACATTTCTCTTGTTGGCCAGGAATTCGGGTCTCATGCTATTCCGACCCTGAAGCCTCATTGCCAGATGATGCTTTACACTTTCACCCTTTGAAAAGTGTGAGGTGAACACCAGGTGTGATTTCTGCACTTCACGATGGTGAACAGTACCATTACTATAAGCATGAGGCTTTTATCCATCAGTACGCTGATATTTTTACCAAAGAAATGACACAGAATTGCTTCTGTTTGTTGTCACTTTACAACTTGAAATAGCTTTAAGAAAACTCCTAGCTTGTTGAAAAAAGATTGAAAGCAGAATACTAATTTTATTCTGTATGTAGGTTGGACACGTATTTTGATTTAGGTGAATTATTTATGTTTCTTTCAGGGTGAGTTATGCTTCTATTGAGCATCCAATTGCCAGTGTCTGTACTGGGAATCCCCCCTGGAGAAGTACCATCGCCATGGATAAGGACACTACATTTCCTGTTATCGAAGTACATATAAGCTCCAAGTGATGCATGGCATTAATTTCAATTACAGCTTGTCTCTTGTAAGCTAAGCAGTTAATCAACAGGCTATACTGTGGCTACACCCTTAAATCAATAGCTGGGAAAACATCACCTCCCCCAAATACTCCGCCTCCTAACTACACTATTTGGAAGGAGTACAAGCCAGAGTTTAGCTGAGCCATCCCACTGGCTAATAGTCCTGCTTACAAGCTGCAATATTTTTAAAACCAGACGATTAGTAAAGGGTTAAACATCAGCCAAGCTGTTCAATTTACAGCATGTTAAGCATTCCTGAAACTGTGATCACTGATATATTTGGGTCAATCAGATGTCTTGTTACTGCTTTGCAGACATTGCAATGAGCAGCTCAGAGATAAAGGAGAACAGTTTCCAGGCTTCACAGCCCTGTACTGGGGAAGGGAGAGCTGGCTGCTGTCCAGACCCAGAATTCTAGCAAGTAAAAAGATAACAAAATAATTTCTGGCTTCCCTATGTTGTTTCTTATATGAACTTGATTTTAGCTGCCTGGCAAAGCTAGGCTCATAGAATACCTAGTTGCTGGTGTTTCACACTGATTTTAGCCTAGTGAAGCCTTTGTTCTCCTCATTCCCCTCCTGACCCGCCAGTACCCAGTTTCTCAGTGATGTGGGGCAGCTGTCATTACAGGCAGCAATTCCTCCCATTGAAGGCAGAAGAAACAGGAGCTGAACAGAGACTTGAAGATTTCTCCCCTGCAGCGAAAGTTATTTTGCATTCAAGACAACTGTCAAACTCTAATGGGCTTTGATAGGATTAGGATCATGGGGAAACAGATGGGGACTTTACTTTTCTGGACACTCTACCTATGCTGGCAGGAAAGGCTGGCAAACCAGGCACAGAGTGAGTCTCTATTGCACCAGAGCCTAAAATGATTAACAACTCCAAAGCACTGAGAGATCTACCAGTACTTTCCAGGGCAGGAGGGAGCCTCCTCCCATGGCTGGAACTGCAGCTGGCAGAGCTTGGGAGGACTGTCCCAGCCATGAGGAGGCACACTCTGGCTCAGGCAAGTTTTGGCCTGTGGTAGCATTGCATATCTTCATCTGATACTCTCCCATAGCCCAAGGCTTCAGTACAATGCCTCCACCCCCACCTTTCAGAGGCATTGCTATGAAAGTTATTTCCCAGCATAGACCTTTTCGGACTACCAAAATTAGCCCCCCCCCCAATCCTTCACAGGCTCATGAAGTTTATGAACGTTTCTCTCCCTTCACTGAGTACTGACAGTCACTTTCCATACAGCATTGGTTTTAGTGTAAACCCAAAGCCACATCTAACACACCTCAATGCCAAGTTACTGAGTCTGGTGACTGCCACATTAAGCTCAGCAGGGCTGTGAGCTTCTTTCCTGGAGACTGCAGGAGGTGAACCTGAAGGCTATTGCTTCATGGTGATGACTAGCACAACACAGGAAGTTCTTCATTTACTCTGAACTGGGATTCAAGAGCCCAGGGTGAGGAGGGAATAGGGTCCTTTTACTCCAGTCCAGCATGTTTTTTCTACATTTCATTCTCATAAGACTTTTTATACAGCTTGTTCCTACTTTGAGTACTTCTCTAGCTCTATCTGTACTCCTTCTTCTTTGTCAGGTTACCAAATACCTCTGTTTCTATCCAGGATTTCTTTAACTGTCCATGAGCAGCTTGTTCACACCCCTGTGGAACCTTTGGTTCCTGGCAGTGAGCTGGTGCCAGTGAGCTCCCATACTGGTGATAGTCGTTTTTAAAGTGACCATCTGAGATTGCTGTCAGGAGAGGAGCATTGAGTACATGGTACAATGTGCCTGCACCCGTGGAACTGGGGTCTGCCCTGGCAATGTGAAAGCACTGCTGCAGACAGGCTGTAGCAAAAGTATGCCCCTGCTTCCTCAGTGCTGCACATTTGGGTCCCTCCACATTTCCTCTCTTGGTGTTTTGAGTCGCTGGATCAGGGAAAATGTTAGTATCAAGAGCCTTCCATCAGGGCAGTATCAGTTCTCCACATGCCAGTGATCTACACTGGATGATTTACAAGGCTCCTTTTCTGCTGATGACAGGTTCCTCCCAATGCAGCCTCCCTGGTGCCTCCTTACTTTGGTGGTGAGAGCATCTTATGCTGCCCTTCTGTGCTGCCTGAGCTTGTGGCCTCCTGAAGAAAGGGTAGCTTGGGCCCAGAGCCCCTTGTCCATATGGCCTGTGTGTTTCAATTCTTCCCTTTGCAAGAAAGTTACTGAGGCTAGCTGGCTTGGGGGGGAAGAGTTGTGCCTGCAAACCTACCTAGTACAGATGCATCAAGACAGTGCTACTGCTAAAACAGCTTTTTTCTCTTGTAGAAGGGTGGGGATTTTGGAATAAACTATACTGGCAACAAGTTAGTGTGCAAAAATGTTATGTGCGTAGTGTGACTAAGTTATTTCCACACTAGGAGTGCTTGGTACAAATTTATCAGCAGCATAGCCCATGTATATGCCTGACTGGCTCTGTCAAGGTGGATTTGTGTTTCTCAACCTAAAACCCATATCCCTTATGACGAGAGATTCCAACAACTGAAGGGCATGATTTATTGCTGGTTGTGACTGGGGG